AGCAGATGTGTAAATAAAAGTATTTTTGCATTATTTGGAATTTACAACTTACTTTGCTAGCAAAATTCAAAAAGTCTCTTCCCAAAGCAAATAAAAAACGAGTAATTTTACCTGTTGGCACCCAGCAGTCCATACAGTACTGATTCCATGTGTCCTGCTTTTTCGTTATAATAGAATGAAGCATTATTGAAAGAGTCCTACAAATTCTTTATAAATATAAAAATTCAGGAGGAATCTTTAGAATCTACAACATAGAAAATGACGATGAAAGCATTAACCATAAATGTTTTTTACAAAGATAGAATGAAAATGACCCCGTAAAATAGTGCAGTAATTAGTCACTAGTTATTTAATAATTCGTTCAAGCATTAGCTTAGACAAGCCTGTGAATAAAAATCTGAACAGCTTTTTAACCGTTTAAGAACCTTGAGTTGCAGCGGATCTGCTTGGTCCCAGTAACGTCCGTCCATTCGAGGGTAGGAATTTCTGATAAGCGTATGCCCAAATCTGAATGCAGCAGTAGCCATTTCTTGCGACATTGTGGCATCGCAACGATCGTCGTAACCTGAAATTACCATTGTGATCTGAAAAATAGTTGCCACAAAACGTGTATATTCAGATATAAAAAATTTTGCTTTATTTTCCCATCTCCATCACTAAAATTATTAGACAAAATGAGAATGATATTAAATTTACCATAATAAAAAAGAGTTTACCGTTGAAATAGCCTGTTTTCTTTGGTAGTAAGTCATACTTGGCAGCATTTTCACATCCGAGTACTATGGGCAGCCATTCTGCATAAATTATATGTTGCATTTTCGCACCTACTATACGCCTCGTTTCCTTTAAGTTAAATATAATTTTATTACCACGTTGAGAGTTGTTGTGATAAGGCCTACATCGCCCACAAAGTGATAGGCGATAAACTACAAAGGACTTTTACAATGCTCTATCAAAACAGTCATTATGATTTTGTTAAGGACTTGAAGTTACCGCAAATATTCTTTCATCCGACCAAAGACTGTTGATTTGGTGTAATTGGCTGGCAATTCTGTTGTGCTCTCGCAGGAACATTGTATGCATAACTGTGAGCGCTGGTTGTTCATTACTTCTTTCATCTCCTGCATTGAAGCATGGATGTCGCGGCCGGCTCTTAAAATTTAT